GTTTGACTTCTAGGGAAAATTTTTGGGAAAATTCAAATAATTTTAGGTTAGAGGATTTTTCGAAATGTATGAGCCGGACTGGTAATCTCATAAACGAAGCACGTGCGATTAGCCCTTTGTCAGTAGGCTAACCACATGAGTTACTTTGTTCTGCTTCCCAAATCAAAGCATCTATTTGAAAAACTGGGTTCAAGGGATAGAGCCGGGCTGATCAATAGTTTAACTAGAAGCCCAACAAGACCAAGCCCCTAACGCCAGGGTGTTAGAACCATACGAACCAAATCGAACCGAACCGAAAATTTCATCCATTTCGGTTCGGATAATCAAAATTAACCATTTTTTTTTTATTTCGATTTGTTTCAGTTCGGTTCGGATCAGTTCGGATCGAACCGAACTGAAATAAACTTCGGTTTTAGCCCTAAAAAGCCCTATGTCGCCCACTCAGTCGCCATCTCTCGCGCTCGCATCTCCCTCTCTCCCTCTCCTCCTCGCCGCTCCGCCTCTGAAATTCGCGACTTCCCCCTCCGGCCCCGCCGCCGTAGCCTCCGCCGGCCGCAACTCCCGCCGGGACCACGGGCCCGAGCCGAGTGTTTTCCTTCGCTGGTCCGCGCGACCGAGCCGTGGGTTTGAGCCGATCGTCTTCTCGCCGGAAAAAGGGAGGCGGAGGAGGAGTGTGATCTTCGCAATCGGTATGCTTCGGTAGTCTGTGCCCTGGGTTTGAGCGGTATGCTTCGTTTTTGATGATCTTGTTTCCTCGCAAGCGGCAGCGATGGGGTGAGGACGTCGCTTTTGCTATTTCGGAGTCGACATTGCTGGTTTGTTCGTGGGTTTTTGTCTGAAAATTCCCGAAACCTCTCGCGGGTGGGCTTTTTTTTTTTTTTTGGGTTTTCTTGCTGTGGTAGTTTCGCCTCGGGCTCGATGGGATCTGTGTTGTACTTGTCGTCGAGAGGGCGGAGTACAACTGAGAGCCGTTTCCAAGTGCTCTAGTGAATGGTGGATTCTGTAGGCTAAGTGAGTTTGCTTGGGGGCCACATGTGCTGTCTAGACTTGTTCTTGTTAGCAGATACTAGGTCTCTAGTCCCTCAAAAATATCTTGCGTAATTTTTGAAGGGAGATAACTCCATTTAGTATTTGATATCCCCCTTCAATCCTTCCAATACTTGTTTTGTGAAGACTGTGGTTTGTCTTAGAAATTACATGTTATTTTCTTGGAGAACTTTCTAATGCTTACCAACTGCAACACACTTGCAAGTGCTCGATGATATCATATCGGAACTATAAGATTTATTACTTGTTTTGGTTGTGATAGGGAGAAATTGCATCTAAAAGCAACCAATAGAGCAAGGTTCCTTGGCCAGTCTTTCCGTTCAGGAGCTTAGATGTTCTTCTTTAGGACGGTGGGAAAATCCACTGGTAAAGTGACTTTAACAAAAGAACTGCGAATATGACTAAGAATGAGCAAATTGGCATTTTTATGCATTGATCATTTACCTCACTAATATCTTGAGACTTCTTCTGCAGTTTAGATTATGATAATTTCTCCTCTCTTTCTTCGTTTATTTCTTTTAACTGGTCCTACATAGCCTGGTAGTTTGGGGGGAAGCGGAATTCAGTATTTTGCGTGCACTTGTTGCCACCACCCGTGGTTTTTTGCTTGATGTTGTTTACAAGTTGTCATATTTGTCTACATTCGTCTCAGGAGAGGAATGGTGTCGTGTGATGAAATTCTTTGCTTGCATGTCTTCTCAAGTTAGCAGAAAATCAAGACGCTGGTTTTTTGGTTTTGAGCCCATTTCCCGTGTTGTTTGATTAACTAATTTCCACTAAGAGGTGCCTTTGCTTATATAGCCTCCTTGTCTTTGGTGTTGTTCACATTTACCACCATCTCTCTTGTTACTTTATGCTGTGTTATACCCTTTTCTCATACTGTTTTGGGGAGGGTTCATCTTGTAGTTTTTGTGGAGTCACTTTGCTGTTCAAGAACTTCAAGTCGATATGCATTGTACTTTAAGTATTTCAAGTTGTGTTGAAAGCGTTGTCTCTTGAGTATTTGTGCTTCAGTCTTGAGAAACCATCAGAAATTGACAGCTCTCTTTGGAAGTAGAAATTCGTCATTACTTAATTTTTTTTTTCTTTGAAATGATACTGAATCATATCTCGTGGCATGTGGTAGCTTCTTTCGCTCTTTCAGTTGGCATTTTCAATTACTTCTAATTTTCATATACTTATTTAATAGCGAATTGTTGTTTCGCTGAATTGAAAAGTGATCTGACTGCAGGTATTGGCGTACTTTTGGTCCTGTACTTTTGCAATCCTGGTTCGACAAAGCTCCAATTTTGCTGCACGATTCCGAAGCTGATTCGCGGCCGCGACAAACCCAAAGAGGCCCAGGACCGGCTTCTCGCCCATTGGTGAGTTCTCAGTTGTCTTCTCTCGGTCAAGTCTTTGACTGGTTTCGCTTCAGCAGTTCTGTCTTCGTGTACATCTCGGCTTTGATCTTCGGTGATGGTTCTTGTGTCCGCTTGGTGAGGGTTTTTGTGGTTTAGAGATTGCGAGTCGGATTGTGAATTTTTTTTTCGAGGACAATGGTTTCGTTTGTGTCTTGCTTCTTGTTATATGGGTGTCCAATGGTTTTCATTTGTTTTTATTATTCCTCTGTTTTGGAGCTGGATTTTATGTTAACTTGTTCTGATTTAGGCGAAGTGAGGTATATGCAATCTATATTACCTTGTGTTTCAAAGGTTGCTAACAACGATGAATGCAAATACTTTTTTTGGGGAAAGAATTACCTTCAGAATTTGCATTGCATCTTGAATTTCGAATTCTACATCATTTATCTTCCCACTTCTTTGAATCAGCAAAGCATGAGCATATGGCTTATGTCATCTGATTTTCTATTAAGAATCCGTGCAAAAGTTTAATTTCTGTTTGCCAACAAAAACATCTTTTCTGTCCTTCAATGAAAGGATATATATGGGAGTTTCATTTCTAGGCTGCTAAAATCCACTCCTTAATGGGATTGATCATGGATGTTATAAGGTATTTGTGACCAAGTGGGAAAGCAATTCCATCAAACTTGCTTAATAGAGGTGTTCTTGCATGCGCAATCTGTTTTTGCACGTAATTCCGTCACTTTCATAATTCATCCTGTTCGTTTGGTATTTTTCTTTTCTCATTATGACTCTATCCTTGTGTTTGTTTGTTCTGTTGAACTAGTTTGCTTCGCGTTCATTTATCATAACTATTTAGCAACTTCTGTCCTGGTGCTTAAATGGCTACCCCTTCTATTATGCTTTTATTTGGATTAAGTATTTGCTTGTGATACAAAGTTTGTTAACTTGACACAGCCACTTGAATTATAATAATTTCAGGTTTTAATTGTCATAGATTGGTAGATGTCTACTTCAATGAGTGAATCTAGTGGCACAAATAAAAGGAGGACGAGATCTACTGCTTGGGAACACTATAAAAGGACAGAAAATCCAGACAAAGCTGAATGTTTATATTGCGGGGCTATTATTGATTGTTCTACCTCTCAAGGGACTAGTGCGATGCATAATCATTTAGGTAGATGTAAGGAATTTCCATATGCGAACGTTGAGAAAAGGCAAAAAAGTGTCTCGGGTCAACTTGTTGGGGTTGGTAGTTCTAGGTCATTTGGTCCATGGAAATTTGACCAAGAAACTAGTCGAAAAGACCTAGCAGCGATGTTTATCATTGGTGAATTACCCTTTAAGTTTGTAGAAAATGAGGCGTTTCGGCAATTCGTGAGTAGGATACAGCCGAAGTTTTCAATCCCCTCAAGAAACACATTGAGGGAGGATTGTTATAAGTTATACTTGGAGGAAAGATACAAATTGAAAAAAATATTTTTTCGATACATCTCCAAGGGTTTGTCTCACAACGGACACGTGGACTTCTTCTCAAAATATGAGTTACATGTGTCTCACTGCTCATTTTGTAGATGGTGATTGGAAGTTGCAAAAGAAAATCTTGAATTTTTGTCAAATTCCGGGATATTCTGCTGAGATTATAGGAAAAGCGGTGGAAAAAGGCTTGACTGGTTGGGGGATTAAAAGCGTTTTTTCTATCACCGTGGATAATGCGAGCTCAAATGACTTGGGAGTTCAATACTTTAAAAAAAGACTCCACTCTTGGAATACTCTAATTTTGTCGGGTGAGTTACTCCATGTGAGATGTTGTGCTCACATATTGAGTTTGATTGTGAGAGAGGGTTTGAAAGATATAGATGATTCCATTGTTAGAATACGCTCAACTGTACGTTATGTGAGGTCTTCTCCTGCGAGGTTGCAACTGTTTAAGGAGTACATTGAGCTAGAAAATATCGAGTCCAAAAGTCTTGTATGTTTGGATGTAGAGACTCGTTGGAACTCAACGTACCTGATGTTGGAAGCGGCTTTGAAGTTTCAGAAGGCTTTTATCTTACTAGATATTCGGGATAGCAAATTTGTTGAAGAGCTTTCCAAGGTGAGGGGGGTTGCCTACTAGTGATGATTGGGAATATGCCCGTCAATTTCTTCCTTTCTTGAAGTTGTTCTACGATACGACTTTAAAAGTATCGGGTTGTTCTTATGTCACTAGTAATGATATGGCGAAAGATGTCTACGGGATTTTTATGATGATTGATAGATATTGTGTGAATGAGGATAGGAGTTTGCAGGAAATGGCCAAGAGAATGAAGACCAAATTCACTAAGTATTTTGGCAATGTGAACAACATCAATCTAACATGGTTCATTGCATGCATACTTGACCCTCGACATAAGTGGCAGTATGTGAAATGGATGATTAATCAAGTTTATGAAAGCAAGCGGGCGGAAATTTTACGAGATAAAGTAACATCATCTCTAACGTCATTGTTCGAGCAATACCGCACCGGTATATGCCCCCAAAGCAATTTGAGGTCAAAGGGTACAAGACAATGAATGTGTCAATGTCTCCTGTGGTTGGTGCGAACATTATGACTACAATGTATCTTAGCCAAACGGGACAAGAATATTTGGAAGAAAAATCCGAATTAGATAAGTATTTGGAAGAAAGATGTGAACGCTGTAGCGCCGACTTTGATATCTTAAATTGGTGGAAAGTCAATTCTTCGAGATATCCTATCTTCTCTTCCATTGCTCGAGATATTTTGGCTGTGCCCGTCTCAACTGTAGCATCAGAGGCTGCATTCAGCACAGGAGGTCATGTACTTGACGTGTTTCATAGCTCCTTGACCCCAAGCATGGTGGAGGCTCTTATATGTGATCAAGATTGGCTACGATCCGCACCACTTTCACTTTCGATTGAGGAGGACTTAGAAGAACTTGAAAATTTTGAGTCAGGTGAGAAAAAATTATCGTGAAATATTTTATATCATTTACTATTGCAATAGATACTTTAATTTTCATTTTTATTGTGAATTTAATGTAGAGTTGTCAACTGTGACCGCGGAGTTGAACTCGATATTGGTTTTCCTTGATAATTGACGAACAAAAGAGAAGTAGTCATCTCCTTGATGTGTAAAGAAAGCAAGTGAGTACTGGAGATTCTGTTTTCTTTTTTGTAGCTAGTCCATTATATGATTTTGTAGTTCTTCTTTGTCACTATGCAGGATCAAATGCAGAAAGGAGAGAGGGATTCATTTTACAATTGATGGCTCGGGTATCTTCATCTCAATCTTGATCAGCAATGTGGCTGGTGCTGGAGATATAGCTGCAATAAAAATTAAAGGCACGAAAACTGGATGGCTTCCAATGGGTAGGAATCGGGGTCATAATTGGCACATTAATGTGGATCTTAAGAACCAGCCAGAATGTTTGGGAGAAGCTGCTTCACTCAATCCAGTTTCTTGTTGACAGCTTCTTTATTTACCTAGCACTACACGGTGAACTATGGGCTGAATGATAACATTTTCCTGTTTAGTTGTCATTCATCTTCTCAAATGGCATATCTTTAATGCTATGTTACTCTGTTCACCAGGAATGAAAGTCTGTCTTACTGATGAGAAGGAGTTAATAATGGAGCTGTCGATGAAGTGGGCAGGGAATCCTAACATCATTGTTGCTGCTAAGGCATTCGGGTTGAGGGCTACTGTTCAGGTATCGATGAATAGCTAGTTTATTCTGTCCCCTCTCTCTCTCTCTCTCTCTCTCTCTCTCTCTCTCTCTCAATTTCGGTGCATTTTAGGTGGTTGATTTGCAAGTGTTCGCTTCTCCGTGCATCACTCTGAAGCCTCTGGTTCCAACCTTTCCTTGTTTTGCCAAGATATTTGTCTCTTTAATGGAGAAGGTGTGTCTAATAATTTCCAGGGTAGACTTCTTTTTGTTTAGAGGAGCTGCATTTACAAGAACTATTTGGTTCTAACATAATAAGATGACCCCAATCATGTTTGCTGTCTAGTTATTCAATGTTTCTTTGTGCAGCCACATGTAGATTTTGGCCTGAAGCTTCTCGGAGCAGATGCTATGTCCATTCCTGGCCTCTATAGATTTGTCCAGGTAATGCTCTTACCTTTTTTATAAGGATAATTTGAACAGATTTCTCCATTCTCCAACTTCACCAATTGTTGGCAATAACCATGTAAACTGCTGATGTAAAATAGTTTGGGAAAATACTACCAACTATTACATTGTAATAAGACTTCTTAGTATTATATTTATGCTTGTGTTCAGGAACTTATCAAGATCAAGTTGCAAATATGTACCTCTGGCCTAAGTACCTAGAAGTACCTATTTTGGATCCTTCTAAGTAAGTTTTCCTCTTTACAAACTGTTACTTCCTTCAATTTGTGCTGCCAAGTTAATGAATATAAAGGTGGTAATTCTATGACTGGTCCAACTACATGGATTTTTGCTTACTCCTGCAGAACTGCAAAGAAACTGGTTGGGATTCTTAATGAAAGGTCGTGAGGGGAATAAAGCTTAAAAAGAAGGACCTTCTGGGCAAGTCAGACCCTTATGTGAAGCTAAAGCTTACTGAAGACAAGTTATCCACAAAGAAGACAATAGTCAAACATAGCAATCTAAATCCTGAATGGAATGAGGAGTTCAGTTTGGTGGTCAAGGACCCAGAATCTTAAGAAAGTTCTATTCGCTACTGTACTTTTCTTTTTTGGTCGGAACCTAGTTTAAATATGTGATTTTGTTTTTTCATTTTTCAATTTTAAATAATGAGTTTTTAGTTTGTAATATATTTACAATCACTCAACTTATTTTAATTTGTAAGATCGATGATTCTCTTACGTAGAATATCATGAATATGTTCACATTTTGACATTAAAGATTCAAATCTAGGAAATAAATGTCGTTAAATATTAAAAAGAATTATTTAACTTTCATCTTATTCGAAATGGCGATTCAGCGATACGTAATCGAAATTATAAATAGTTGAATAGCGTAAATGACTAAAATATTTTTATAGGAATAAAAAGCAAAAAAGAAGAAGAAAAAATAGAAAATCGAGCCATGAATAAAAAGCAAAAAAAAAAGAAAAAGAAAAAGAAACCGAAAATTGATCCGAACCGAACTGAATCAAATCAATTTTTCGGTTCAGTTTCAATTCGGTTCGAGCGAGTTTCGGTTCGATTCAGAGGTGCTTCCTTAACGGTTCGGTTCGGTTCGATTTTTCAAGAAAACCGAACCGAACCGTTTACAGCCCTACCTAGCGCCATAGAAGCTTAGGATATGAAAAAAAAAAGAGAAGATTTTACCTAGATTTCCAAATCCTCCCAAAAGTATGGAGCCACAACGCTTTTAACCTTAACAAAATCAGGGTTTCTATTGGGATTCTTGGTATTTGGTTAAGAGGTAACCTCACCAAGAAAAGGGAACCAAAACTCCTACAGAAGCCTCTGTGGCTTGTCCCGATCTTGTTGGGTGGGCTTTATGGATGCGTTCTTTATTTTATCATGCCGATGTCATCGCGCCTTACACCTCCAATTCTCCATGTATCTTTATCTTCCTATAGAGAGAGGGAATACCCTTTGCAAGTTTTATGTCCAAAAGATCCCGAAATTCGGACAAGATCTAAGATTAAAGCCTTATGAGGATCTACTCGGATCCACACCACCTGAGTTACTTTGTTCCATTTTCCATGTCAAAGCATCTCTTTGAAAATTTGGGTTAAAGGCCTAGAGCTGGGCTGATCAACAATTCAACCGGAAGCCCAACAAGACCAGGCCAGCCGCTGACGCCATGGAAGCAGCTCAGGACGTGAAAAAGGAGAAGACCTTTTACCTAGATTTCCAAGTCCTCCCCGAAAGCGTGGAGCCGCAACGCTCGGTCTCGCGAGATCAAACCCCACCAAACCCAGAAGCCCAGAACCTTCTTCACTTTATCTTCTCCCCCATCTCACCAACCATTTCTCAACCTTAGATTCCCACACCCACTCTCCTACTGACCCAAGAGGGAAGAAGGGACGGACGATCGCTCGCTCCCTCCCTCATCTCCCTGCTCTCTGGGTCTCTCTCTGTTGCAGACAAAGGGAAGCTAAAGGCGAAGCGAAGAACGATGGCCTGCTCTGCCGCCTCGACCACCCTCATCTCCTCCAACCCCTCCTCCTCCTCCTTGGCCAAGAAGCCCATGTCCCCTGTCATGCTGTCCTCCCCCCGGAGCGTCGCCATCCCCAAGTCCGTCCCCGCCCTCGCCAATCCTTTCCTCTCTTCTCGCATACCCAGATCGGTTGCTCCCTCCCGCGCCTCCAATTCCAGGCGCGGAGGCTTCTCCGTCAAGGCCTCCGTACGTATTTTTCCAAGAACCTTGTTCGCTTTTTTGGTCCTGGTGGTGGAAGGTTGTGTGAGTTGGTAGAGTCACGACTGTGCCGCTGTGGGTGATTGAGTGCATTTGGGTTGTCATGATGGAAGTTTCTGGGATTTGTTTTTATGGGATTGCCGTAGATTGCTGGTTGTCGTCCTTGAATCAGCGCATTTGGAAGAGAAAAAAATAATGGGTTGAGGTTTTCTTTGTTATTAGTGGTTTATGGTGTGATCAGCCCTGTGCTATGTGTGTGTGTGTGTATGTGTATGTTCTTTTCGGGTTGTAGTTTTATCACCATTTAGATAAGGTTGCCCTGCTCGGTTCTCTATCTGTCTGCTGAACTGGTCTGCAGAGATGTAGATTCCTAGTGTGACCCTGCACAACGGATTTGAGTAATCGTATTAAGCTTCAAATGTGGACATTGTTGGATAATTGGGCCCGGCCAGTTGCTATGAGAGTTCATAATGTGTGCAGACATTACTGTGGAGCCAAAGGTTATCCTTTACTGAATTGACGAGGTTCATGGTTCTGTGTTCTTGATCAATTGAAGCACAGTTCTGTCTGCCTGCCTGTTAGTCTTAGTTGGAGCTCACTGGCTAAGTGTAGAACTCAATGAGATCGCCAGAACCTCCTAAATCTATTCTCATGTGATTGTTTTTCGATAACCTGTTATTGACTCAATCAGATTTCCCAAACTTGAAACAAACTTCTAAACTTCACATGTAATTTTTGCTCCTGTTTACTTTGTGATACTTATTGACCATATCATTGCTTTTCACTTTTTACGTTCAATTTGCATTCAAACTGAATGTATCTTCTCACATCTTTGTTCAGAGTGAGCTTCCCCTTGTTGGAAATTCAGCACCAAATTTTGAGGCAGAGGCTGTCTTTGATCAGGAGTTCATCAATGTAAGTTATTCAAATCAAGACTTCCTGAAGTCCTCAAGCGTTTTTTTGTTTTTTTACAGTCACAACTGTGAGATTTAATAGATAGATTCCTGGAGAATCAATTATATGGCCTCTCATGAAACTTATTCTTATTTTGCATATGTATTCTGCATTTTAGGTAAAGCTGTCGGATTACAAAGGCAAGAAGTATGTGATTCTCTTCTTCTACCCATTGGACTTCACTTTTGTCTGCCCAACAGGTTAGATGCTGAAGCATAGAACTGCTTCTTAATCTCTGCAATATATTTAATTTAATTTTAGTTTGGTTTGGTTTGTTTAGGCCGTAACATGATTGTTTACAAATAATTTCGTTTTTCTCTTCTTCTTGTAGAGATCACTGCATTTAGTGACCGACATGCGGAGTTTGAAAAGTTGAACACAGAAGTACTGGGTGTTTCTGTTGACAGTGTTGTAAGTTCTTCGTCTGAATTACGTTGAAACTTTAAATAGCTGATGTGCACATGAAGGTGCACGGTAAATTTCCAGTATTGCTCTAATTGCTTAGAGCTGTTAGAAGTGTTTGCTTGTAGCAAGAGTAAGTGGGGTTATATGCAATCTCATGAACAGGTGAAAATTCCCTTGTGGTTACCAGAAAGAGGGAAAATTAGCAAAATCATTATGATATGTTGTGATTTCCTTCTTCCACCCTGAGACTGAGATGTCAATATGATTGTGAAATGCTGTCACTCTCCAAAAGTGATACCGAACAGCAAAGTTTCTTGTTGTATTCATATCTTGATGCATCTAGATGCTTTATCAGTATTTTTAGGATTTCCAGTACATACCATTTATATCCTGTCCTGTGGTGTGCTAATGGCCAAACTTCTTGCTCTGGTGGCTTCTGAAGTGATTAAAATTTGGGTGATGTTAGCGCAAAGGTACCATTTTGTGCTAATGATGGAATCTTGTCCTCCTTGCAGTTTTCCCACCTTGCATGGATTCAAACAGATAGAAAGTCCGGTGGTCTTGGTGATCTTAAGTATCCACTTATATCTGACGTCACCAAATCCATTTCGAAGTCATATGGCGTACTTATCCCCGATCAGGTATGATGTTGATTCAGATACTCAAGTGGCGTTTGTTTTCATGCTTAGGATTGCATCATTGATTGGTCTTAACTCTAAAATAAAGGGATGTTTCTTTGTTGATGCTGCTCCAGAATAGATGATAATCTCCTCTGCATAAAATCTATTGCTTTGTTCTACTTGTGGAATTATATATATCTGACGAGCTTCTTCTCACTGTATCAGGGAATTGCATTGAGAGGACTGTTTATCATTGACAAGGAAGGAATTATTCAGCATTCCACCATCAACAATCTCGCCATTGGCCGAAGCGTTGACGAAACATTGAGGACATTGCAGGTAACTTCATATGGTGGCTCCGCGCCCTGCCAAGTTCAGCTCTATTATGATATGGTAGTTAGGGTCACCCTGACATAATAGGCTCAAATTATATCATCTTCACCATTGTGAATTTTCGTTTCTGCAGGCCTTGCAGTACGTGCAGGATAACCCCGACGAGGTTTGCCCGGCCGGGTGGAAGCCTGGGGAGAAGTCCATGAAGCCAGACCCTAAGCTCAGCAAGGAGTACTTTGCGGCCATATAGTTGCAGAACCTCGGTGTGCCTAGTTCGGAGATGTAAAAGAGTTTGTATCATCTTTGCTGTTTCGTTTTTTTGTTGCATCTTTATCAGTCAAAATAATTTTCTAGCTGCATTTGCTGGGGAATGAATTTAATCGGACTAGGTGTTTTCCATCTCCTCTGTACTAAAATTTATTAGAGTCAAACCCCTGCATCAATGTAGCCAAGTTTTTAGCTTTTGCCCTATATGCCTTGAATTGGTTCTGTTTCTCCTACAAAGTCCCATAATTGTCTTTTGCACAGAATAACACCGGTCAGCTCATACTTTTGTCTCTAAACTATGAATATTCATTAGCAAGTGGTACACCATCCTACAGGAATAGAGTTGATGATGGCTCGTGTAAATGCTATGAACTTAGTCAAAAAGATTGAGCGATTTCACTGACTAACTGAAGCGGCGATTTCCCAGAGGTGTTTCAAGATGAATCATCCAATTCACGGGTCTCATTGTTTTGATACACTATTGAAATCTGTCAGATCGCTTGACTAAACGAGGTTAGCTACATTTCTCAGGACGTCCAAGATTGTCCATGTCAAACATAGCTGCGTAAGAAAAATGAATTAAAGCGAATCATTGCGATATGACTCTATGGGAAGAGGAAAGGAATGAATGCCTTGAAGGAGGGGGGATGCGGCTACATGGTGAACTAGCTCTGCGTTTCTTATCCTTTTTGACCCAGAAAGGGAGGGGGGTCAGCTTAGATGAAGGGCAGTATGAAATGCTGGTGCAAAGAGGCACGGACCAGTTCCAATTTCCATGTCTTTTTGCCCATGTGAAAAGCGAATGAAGCGAAAAGACTTCGTCAACTAGAAAGTTTCGCATGTATGGATTGACTACAAGAGGTAGAAAGTTTCGCATGTATAATATCTTCCGAAGCATTCCCATTGTCCAGTTTCGCTTTCGGATGACCGACCTTAAAAAAAACAACTTTTTTCACTTTTCGGATAAAATTTTGAATGTTATTCTTTCAAGTAATAATATTAAGAATGAGGAAGAGATTATACGTTTCATATGATGGTTTCAAATACTTAAGTTAACAAGGAAGAGTCAAAACACACGCCAGCAAACAGTGAGTCTATCTATCAAGGGGACAACACAGTCTATACAAATTGTGATTTTCAGGCTCAAATTCTTGCCAAGTCCTAGTCGGAACGAGCTCGGAGAACCGAAGTTAAGTCGGACTCGTGCTTGGAGACGTCGGGGTTGTAGGGAAAAAGGGGATCGGGAACCCGAGCCAAAGGCGTGGGCGTTCACCCAGATCAGCCTAGTAGAACTACTAGGCATGGGCCGAGCACCCGGCAACTGCTCCAAGAAACCAGTTCGATACTCGCCCTCTTTCGGGCACTCGAGTGTCACGATTGGCCCTCGGAAGCATGTGCTTTTAAGTCTTATTTTAACCTAATTTAGTTAGAAGGTGATCACAGCTGAAAGGTGCCTTATCTTAGGATTTTCTAGCAAAACTTTGCTGAAAACACGAGAGCTTATGAGGATTTGTGTACTCAGGATTGAGAAATACACGATTGATTGATCAATTGATTATGACTATAACTTTCTAATTGACTAGTGGATTTTTTGCGGCTGACTTTTCGGCAAACAATGACATTCGGACCATAAATTTCTGGAGTTATTATTTTTGTTAATTTCTCTAATAACATCACCTTATCAAGTTTGATATTGATTACACTATCTGTTAGTTTCCACTTTCACAACACACATAATGAACTTTTTTGAACACAGATTATCTCAACAAGCGAAACCCTTCTAATTAAAAAGAGAAAATGGAGGTAACCAAAGGCTCTTGGCTTAAGAGACATTTGAAACTAATTAAGGTGTTCTTAGTATATTGCAGCTGTCTTTGATCGACAGGAATATTTGATCGAAGCAGATCAGATAGGATAAGAAGAGAGAAGGTTTTGTAATATCAGGTACTTTGTTTGGATAATTATTGGATAAAAAGCTAAATATGAACACATACTTGTGTTGGATGTCTTGACACAAGATTAAAATTTGAAATTCAAGAGAGAAAAAAGTAATTTTATAATAAAAAAGGGAACTCTCCGTTTGTTTTTGTCAAAACTTTTTAAAAACAAGAAATAAGTACACTTGAAATTCTAAAACTTGTCACGAAAACGCAGTTGAGTCATAAAACTTTCAAAAAGTGTAATCAAGTCCCAAGACTTATCGAGTTGGTGCAATCAAGTCCTTTCATTAACTTCATTCAACTTGACAAACAGAAAATGCTGTCAAATTTTAGGACTTGATCACACAAACTTAATAAGTTTTAGGATTTGATTGCACTTTTTGAAAGTTTTAGGACTCGACTGCACTTTCATGAATTTTTAGGGTTTAATTACACTTTCATGATAAGTTTTAGCACTATTAGTACATTTGTTCCTTAAAAAAAAATCTGATACTTTCTTTGGATCGAGAGAAAACTCGGGTAAAGAATGGTGGGGAATGAATTGAGGCTCGACATGACAGATTCCAGTTGATGAATGATTGGTTATTGCTAACAATATATATAAAGCTACCACTTCACATATGTGAAAGTTAAGGAGCCTAGCGATAAGGCAACTGTCACTACTAGCAGGCTGAAAGCATACACTCAAATAATTAAGTCTAGAATTCACAATTCAAGTTCCGTTTATTTCGCGAAAATAAATTATTTAAAAAATATTTTTTAAAATGATAATTTGTGTCGCTTAAAATAATTAGTCAATGAAAAATATTTTCATTATTGGAAATAATTTATGTCTAAATAATTTTCTTGGACGATGAATATTTTTTTCTCTCACTCATTTTTATAACCGACACAAGCGATTGTTTTGTGGAAAATAATTTCCAGATAATTCATTTTCCGAGAAACAAATGGAACTTTTCTTCGTTTTCAGTATTATTTTTTATTTTCTTTCCATGTTCTTTTATTTACCCTAAACAAATCAACGATTTCATTTTTTACTTTTTAAATTTTTTCTTCCACTCTAATTTAAGATATATTCAATTTTTAATCTATTTCATATCACATCCAATTTTAAAGCATAGAATTGTATCTTTCCAATTGAGATCTCCTCAAGTCATTTGAGTTTTGGGTTGATACTTCTCTTCTTAACTTCGATCTTTTTACGTTAATAATCCTTTATTAATAATTACAATCAAATCCAAATGAATTATTGCATTTTCTCCATTTTAATTGCCATATGAAAATCAATCTTTGAGCAAAAAAATAATATTGTCAAATGCTATTGTAAGTTTATAATTTCTATTTTCTTTGACTTATAATTACTATATCATCAATACGATGAACTAATATTAAGTTATTTTCTTTTGCATCACATGTGAATTGTCATATTTGTTCGTGTATATGTGTGCTACAAGGATGAATGTAGATTTGAATTTTTGTAAGTAAGTAAGTATATATGTATGTATAGCTACCTAAGTAGGATTCACTTTTTTCAGGTGATATTTTTGCCCTTTTCCTTTTTATTTTTATTTTTTGATATTTTCTCCCTAACAAGTTTTGTGGCAAAAAAATTTAGTTTTCGTTTCTTCAATGTCATCTATTTTATTTTCAATTATTTGATAGACAAATTTTCATTTATGTTATATCCCAATTTATCATTTTATCATGATATTCATTTTATTTTTTTTTATCAATCGACGAAAATATATGGGTTTGTATATCTCTTTTCACTCCAATTTTGTTTTTGGAGTGACATGTTGTCACCAGATATCATAGAAAAGTTATTTTCTAAAATAGTAAATATTATATTTCGCTTTATGGGATGTTAGTTCTTAATGTGATAGAAAAACCGATAGTATGAGAGGTAGAGCTCCCCGTTTACGTGTGCACCAATGGTTTTCAGAGGAGTCCATCCCACCATGTAATCAAAAGAATTTATCTTATTGAGAAATTAATGAAAAAGATATATTGCTGCCTTGATAAGATAAATATTTCGATAAATACATTTTAAAAAAATTAAATTAAATTAACATTTTTGTTAAACCGTGCTATATTTAAGAAAAAAATTCACGACGTAGAGTCGACTATTATAAGTAATTTTTCACAAAGAACTTTCTTTCCTTCCGGTTAACCTCACTTTTCAATCAAATTAATGATATTAATTCCCAACACTTTCACTACTTTCATTTTTCTACTTTTGCCAAACGCAAATTAGAAATTAATTTCTTCACCTTATCTTTCTTCACTTTTTTCATTTACCTCATCCAAACTCTTCCAAACATAGGCTAAGGGGAGAGCAAACATACGCAAGTCATCACAGCCAAACCATCGGCCATCGCCGTCCTCTTCAGCACGAAGAACTGTCTGCCGTCTTCTTCGAGTAGCAATAGATTTTGATCCTGCAAGAATTGTCGTGGAGTACTGGAGATGCCCATAGCTTTCACCAATATCTCGAAAAACGAGATATATTTGGGCACCATAGCGTCATGACCTGAGTCAACTAGGTGTTATGAGCTTGGAACGGGCTGATCAAGAGCTATATGAGTGTAGTGCACGAGAGCGGGACATGGGATGCACACAGTATGTGCATGCATGAACAAGTGCAATGGAAGGACTAGACATGAATGAGAAAAGAGCAAGCAAAGTCCAAGTACGTCGTCTTTGAAGTTCATAGCTGGTTCATGACTTGGGATTAGCCAAAGTGTGTTTAAGGTATGGGGATGAACCATATTAAAATACAGTACTACCATTCATATACTAGGAACAGTGGTGACACTGTAAATAGCTGCACTACAGTCGTAATTATGCTTTGAACCCTTGAATTCTTTGATTATTGCGGTACTCCTTTATCCTAAACTTGTGTGCAAAAGTGATCTTGAAGTGCTACTCTCTTGAATGATTGCACGAGATCCTCGAGTCCTCAATCGAGCAGGGTGGCGAACACTTAATAGTACAATGTAAGAGCGAAACACGAGAGGAAAGGGGACATAGGAATCACGGGCAAGGGAGAGAGTGAGCGACCCGACCGAAAGCTTAATTACGTGGGAGATTGCGTTACTACGCGAACTAAGCGTTATGTTCTGTGATAAGGCATGATCCCGTCCCTTCCTCTCGCTTTTGGAACATTCACACGCAACACAGTTTCGGATGCTGCAACATCTCCCAACCCAGAAACAGAAAAAACACTCGAAACGAATGGAGCAGACAGAAGCCAAAAAGCCTGAACTGATGATGATTCCTTCGACATTAAACAAAAGGAAGGCAAAATTACAATATCCTTTCCACAGACCGTATTGCTCGAGACAAGAGTCTCGCTGCTTCAAACCCCCCCAAAAAGAACAAAATGTAACCTGTCCTGTGCTGAAGATTGTACCGCCACCGCCAACTTTTATTATATTTAGTCCTTCTGAGTAAAACAATATAGTTTCCACATCGATTACTTTTTCGTCACGTGGTGACGCTCGATTCAGGCACGTAGCTCAGTCTGTCCACCTCCTCCCACACGAGCTTGGCCGTCACGTCTTCGCATTGCGGGACATATTCCTGAAACAGCCACTCAAACATTCAATCTCTCTTCCTCAATTCCTTAAACAAAAAAATAAAAAATAAAACACCAATTTCAAAGTTACTCATGTTCATGCCCTTTTGGAACCAAAAGGGTTGTCGGTAAGGGACACCATTTTCAATGCGGGACGAGAGTCAAATGTTTTTCGACGCTTTCGGATTGAGAAACGTAAGGTAATTTGACGTTTAATCTCCTCATAATTACTAAAGTTGACGACCCATTATTCTATATTTTTTATTAATTAAGTTGCTTAGTTACCTCAAGGAGCCTGACTAGTTCTTTCGCGGTGGGAGCAGACACGATGATGTGACGTGCACTAGGGGAGATGAAGCCCTCATCGACGGCCTTGTCAATAAAAGACAACAAAGAATTGTAGTACCCATCCACATTCAAAAGACCCACCTGCACAACATTCAAACAACTATATTAAAAATTATTAATCAAATCATGTGTAAAGTAAGTGATTATATACCATTATCCACAGTCCATGCACATACAAAAAATCGAAATGCATCTCCAGATTGGCCCCCAAGAAAAAGTTAGAAGAAACAAGAGCTAGCTAGAGAGAAAAAAAATACAACAATGATAAAGAAAGAAGGGGACAGCCTTCTTTTGACCAACAAGTCTACTTTAATCAATGGTTAATTAGACTATAATTTTTCTCCCATTCATACGGAGATGCTTCCAATCGAGCTCCTAATAATCACACGACGCACGGCCACGACTGAGATATGAACAAAATCTTGTGCTATCTTTCCACGTGAACCGAATGAAACTACACATGCATTGATTCTCCTTCATTTGCCCTATCACAACACGATAAGATCTATTGACCAGTATGTAATCCTCGCTCTATCTTCCCTTCCAAGAATATGGAAATCTTGATCAGCTCGATAGATTAAATTAGTACGTCATAAGATCCGCAAGAACAAAAGAACTAAAGATTTTGCAAAAAAGAAACCCTAGAATGTGCATGAACATGCAAACGACAAGTTGCCCAGCAACTTATAATCTCGTGATGATTTAACTAATGTTTACCATTTACTATAATATCACGAAGCCAAATCGATTATAAGTGTATGTAAGTAAGATACAGCTGTTCCCTGTGGATGCTGTGATCTTGTTCATGACCATAGGATCCAAGAGGAAATTGGCTTATTTATCGTGCTGCGTTTTTCAGCGACATGAATTTGTCCAACATGGAGGGAATAATGCAGAACAAATATGAATTTAGTATCAATTTTTAGTTATAGATGATGATGTCAGAGGTGGGAAAAGAATAGAAGGAAAATGTCTCACAGGCTTGCGGTGAATGCCGAGCTGAGCCCAAGTAATGACTTCAAGCAACTCCTCGAGGGTGCCGTAGCCACCTGATGACAATCATACTTAATTAGTTACGAAAGAATCGTATGATCAAAAGGATAATTAAAATCTTGTTTCATCTGTGATTATGATGTTGGTGCGAATGACTCAAAGTAGTACCCGGAAGGGCGATGAATGCGTCAGCTTGACGGGCCATTTCGGCTTTCCTTTGGTGCATGTCAGACACGGTCCTTATTTCCCCAATAGTGTCACCAGCTATCTGCGAAAAAGACTCAAATTTGTAACCCTCGTATTGACATTTACACCAAACGCCACCCTCGATCACTAAAATCTTCAAAGCAATTTTGTTAAAAGGGCATGTATTTTCTTTTCTCTGCTACTCTTGAAAGATATTTGCTCTTATGAGATTTTTCCTCTCTATTGTTGGTGGGTCTGTCATAGCAGTGGAAGATCAACTTTTGGAAAAGAAAGAGGAATGAAGCGGGGACTGCCAGAGCCATTTGCCATAAGCGTCCCATCGCATAATGCCCGGTTCAGTTTGATTTGCCCTTGTTGAGTAGATGTCTCATCATTACGGCTAGTACACTTCACGCAACAACCACAACCAATAAACAGAAAACAAAGAAAAGATATAAAGCACATATTCATACCTCTCTAGACATAAGAGTTCTCGGAATAACCCTGCAAAATAAACAAATAATAGATCAATAAAAACGAAGCACAAACCAGACAAAGTGGCAGTTTTTCTCTAGTGTGAACAGTATTAGCAGCTTATCGAGGCCACAAAGCGGCAGCTTTCGGAAAAATTTGCTTAGAAACTTTTCAAGTTACAATTCCACTGACTGATGTAACCTTTGCCCTCGAACTCAAGCAAAATGTCAAGCCTATTGAATTCATTCTTTCTACTGGTAATCATGGAACACAAAGACTAGGGGCTCGATTTTGTGTTTGCCCTTTTCATGTAAAATTCTGTCAAACCAAATCAATGGTTTTGACAGGGCTAGCCCCAGTTATCCTGGAAAAAAGTTTCATCATTCTTACGGAGTCCTTTCGTCTCCTCCTTTTTGAGAGAAGGCCTCTCGAGTGTGAGTAGTGTGTACTACTGCCATTTTCAAGGACCGAAATGGATTCACTTTTGATCAAAGCCTGCTCCAAAAAGCCAACATATCTCAGTAAAAAGAGGGCAACCTTTTCTCAACTCTATTAGATGTATTGTGACTGTCGGCCAGATGAACTTTAGTTTAACCAACAGCAGTTGAAAAAGAGTGCACTGCAAGAATAATGCTAGGCATACATATTACTGTAGTATACTAATTTTCTACGTTAATATTAATGTATCTAATGTTGCTCGACAGAACATGATTTGTTCCTTTTTGTCAGCCCAGCATTTGATCCCATGATGTTTGCCTTTGCGCTGGAATGAGACCCACATGAAAAGTTGTTCATAACTTGCATGGTTCGAGAAGTTTTGTCTTTAAAAAAGAAAACAACAACAATGGGTGATGAATGATGCATGTCTCTCGAGACCCGCATATGCTCATGTCCTTCTTCGATGTTTGTGTGTGTGTAGGTAGAGAGAGAGTGAGAGAGAGAGAGAAAACAAACCCTAGAACATGGCGCCCACCATCATGAACAGCCTGAGAAACAAGACCCATCAATCCCACGCTCCCACCTCCATACACCAAATCAATCCTTCTCTCCACCTTCATTTCCTCATCGATTAACACAAACAGATAAAAAAGAAACCCATCAATACACGTGTCAGAGAGCCCATCACCATCATCGGGACGAAAGAAATCATGTTTTTGCTTTCTCCAAGAGACAAACACGATGACAACAATTAAACTAAACAAACAAACAAACACTGAGCTTGGAATGGTGTCGCTGTGTGCGAGTGTGAAGAAGCCCCCCCTACAGGAGGAGAGGCTCGCGAGGGACATGGATATTTTTATGGAACCCCACGAATTCTTTTTTAAAAAATTGGAAAATTAAAAAATTCATGGGTGATAGGTGGAATTGCCCAAGATAGGAGCCAACACGCTCACACGACTCATGATACCGAGAGAGCACGTTTGGTTCCCCAACCAAAGGCATGGGTGATAATTTTTCTTAAAAAAAAAACACAACTTAAAAGAACATTTAACAGCTATTATTCAATTTCAACAAGGAAAATGGCAAAAAGAGAAAAGGAAAATTTTTACAGGGAACGAGAGAGATCATGCAAGAAGGCTGCTCAACTGACAGGCAGGCTCCAGCTAGCATTCCCCCTCATGCCCAAAACCTCAAAACCTAATCAACCCTTCCCGTGTAATTTCCCATTACAATCATCAGCCCCACGTTGGAGAGGTGTACAAATCTTTTCATATGAAGACATAAAGTTTGAGGTTTTTGGTTATTCCTAGAGGAAAAGAATTGAGTCGAAACAATAATTTATGAGCACGAGATGAACGAAGACAAAAAGGGTGGGGGATCGAGAGTAGAACCGAGTTAGCTCCTACTCTTGGTAAAAACAAACAAAACCTTAAAGAAGCTTAGAATTACAGATACGATGAGTGAGAGAGGAACGATTTTGACATCAGCAGAACGTCTGATTTCAGTGTGAAAAACTCGTGACACACCAATGGAGTCTGAACACTGCCTTGCGCTTGGTTGATGGTCGGAAGTCCCCCCACCAAAACGAACCAGTAAAAGTGGCATAAAGAAGAAGAAAACAGGAAAAGGGAAGGCTTCCCATTGCGTTTCGGAGGAAGATGAGAAGACCCAGAAGACGAAAGAGAGGAAATAAAGAGATATCGACAAGTGGGTCTGATGAAAAAGAAATACCAGTTCTTGTCCCAGTTGGATAGCGGCTTCTGGATAGCTAGATTTCTTCCCTGAACTGCTTCCGCAGAACACGCAGATCCTCCTGAACCTCGACGACGACGATGACGACGCCGACGACCGCGTCTCTGTCATTCTCCTCTCTCTCTGTGCCTCTGCGCGAAAAGAAATGAAAGGAGGGGAGGGTTGGGAATGGGAACGAAGTGCGCGTGTGTTCGTCTAGTTATATAGTATTTGGAAGGAAAGGTGGAATCGAAAATAAAAATTGACAAACAAGGTACGTACAATCTACAGAAATAGGAAAAGAAATTATGATACTTCGATTTAGTGGGATTGTTAAAAGGAAAAAGGAAAAAAATCTCTAAAAAACAATCCTAAACTTCCTGTTTGGCCTCGTCTATCCAAGTGTAAATATCTAACAAGCTGATAGGTCTATATTTATTATTTTAATGTGCTAGTACCCACACTCCTAACCCACAAATTAAAGATAAAGTTTTTCTTTCCTCCTTTTACGAATACCCCCAAATTTTGTATTCCAAAATTCTTTTTTTTTTTATGGAAGCTTTTTTAGGACCTAAAACTTAGAACCTTTTCGCACAATATCAGTTCCAAGAATTTATAATCGAAACCAAACTTCTTTCCACCGGAACCAAACCTATTTTTATAGAACCGATATGGTTTGACAGCCCTAAAGCCGACAGCCCCCCAACACGACACGAATATACAATTTCGATTGAACTCCACACATCACGACATGACATAATTTGAAACCGATGCAAATCAACATGTTTTCATCTATTTTTACCGTGTTTTCATCTATTTTTACCGACAATCGCTTTATAATCACATCGAGATATTCTTGTAAGGATGTGAAATAATATCAATAAGTGGACATGACTATTATAGGAAAATACACACAGTTATATAGGTTAAGATGCATTGATTATATTTCTCGCGTTTTGCATGATTGAAACTTTTTTATACAATTACCATTCCTCTATTTTTCAAACTACAAGGTCGGACCACAAATTTTGCTAAATTGTGCCCGTAAATTTTACATCATTGTCAATTTTTCTTTTGAAAATTATTCTCCCTTTCCTTCGTACCGACGACCTTAATCTACAAATTCCCCGCTCGAGCCACCATAGCACCTCACACCTGCTGCCCGCCACCGTGGCCTTGAAGCAACGGCACAGCTTCGAGATCACATTGCAAAGACCATGATGACCACAGACAACGTCGACATCACGAACTCACAACTTGATCCGAGGTCGCGGTGGTTAGAGGTGGCAGAGGAAGGCGACGGACCTATAGTAAGGTTAGATGTATGGTGTCTCTTTGGTTTGAGCTTATGGTATTTCGGGAGTTTTTGGTCCAGTGTGATTAATTTATCATTTGGTGGTGCATCTTTGCATAATATAATCGAATGTACAAAGTCGTGTTTTCAAAAATAGATGATCCTAATTGTTATTGACACAAAAATTCGGCATAGGTTTTAAATTTTCCCTACTATTTTAATATTGTTAAGATGAATCATAAGTATACAAATTTAGATCAAATGATGAATATGGAAATTCAAAATTGGTTAAGATAACAATAAGGTGATTCATTAAATTCTACCACTTTGAAAGTTTAAATTCAAATATTTCTTATCTTATAATGTACATATAAATCAAGTTTTCAAATATTTACTTTTTCTTTAACGAATTTATGTTTTTCAATTTGTCTCCAAACTAATCTGGACGACCAACTAATATTTTGACTTGACTTTTTTTTTTTCGGTTTTTTGCTAGTTTGATACAAAAAGAAAATAAAAATATTCCAAAACTGTAAAATTTCGACTTTATATCTTTATCGTCAATTTGATTTTGAAGTAAAGCTAATAATAGCGGAATCTGTTTAAGGCTCCGTTTGTTCACGAAAAATGAATAATTTAGAAAACATATTTCTAAAAATAATAGCTTGTATCGCTTGAAATCATTAGTCAATGAAAAATGTTTTCATTATCAATCACAATTTATATTTAAAATATTTTCGTGGACGATGAAAATATTTTTTGTTAAAATATTTTTGTGCGATACAAGCGACCATTTATAGAAAAATGTTTTCCAAATCATTCATTTTTTGTTAAATAAAGGAGGAGTAAACTCTTCTCTTCTACATTATATTTGATGTTAACATGAATTAATAGATATCTTCTTTTTAGACTTAATAAAAAAAAGGATGAAACTCGCGGGCTAAAGCTTCATAGAGTTTTTTTTTTTTTGGATAATTGGTTTGATATGAAATGTTTGTATCATGCATTTTTCTATTGATCACGTTCCAAATTGATTTTTGTCACATAAACTTATTGTGCGAAGGACAGTCGACAGAGCCATCATCGGATGATTGACATACGAGAGAGGTGTCGAGTTGCATGACGAGCTATGTCACTCATGTCGTCTGTCCAACGACCATGACTCTAATCAATGAGAAGAGTGGAATGGGACCTTAGTTTTGTTCATTATGGTGGTTGGTAACTTGGAATAATAAGGAATAAAAACGGATATCGGGGATGGAAAAGGCTCCATTACCATGTTTTCATTAATGTTTGGGAGAGGTGAGAATGAATAAGAAGGAATGGGCATGACTTAACTAGAAAAAGGAAATTCCACAAATTGGCAAATATTTATGACAAGAAAAATATTAATTACTCGCAAATACGCATTGGAATAAGCATACCGATGTCCGAGAGTAAGTTTTAGATGTCGCAACCATAAATCTAACTTTAAGGACGACTTCGAGTATGGAAGCACGGATGCATAATCAAGAGAGCATTATCTAACATATAAACTTTTATCTATAGCTAGATGGATAAGGGCTTAACCCTATAATCGCCCACATTACTCTAGATCTTTAGCTTGTTCTTGAGATGCTAGAGTTGTGGCAAGCGGACCGTATTAAGTTATCTTATGGTGACATATATCTAACATTCTCCCACTCGGTCCACGTGGCATGACCAACGGACAATGGCGATAGTACTTTTCTATGGCCATCAAATAATCTAGCTATAGTAAACTGTCACTCGTGTAGAGGGATGCAACACGAATCATAGCCGTCGTTGATAGAATGCTCCCTTCCATGCATTACAATGCACGACACCTTCCAACGAGCACTTTATGAGTTAGGTCACTTTATGGACGAAACACTATAGTTCATTCAGGGTCCAGCAAACTTTATCCATTCTCGCTTTATGTGCACAAAAATGGAATATACTATATTTGAGAAAATTACCAAAAAAATCATAAATCTATTGTACTTATGCCAATTCAATCCTAAACATTTCAATTGTGTCAATTGAGTCGTAAACCTTTTCACGTTTTGCCAATTGAGTCCATCTAGTCAATTTTGATCGGAAAATGCTGACGTGGTGATCCAGCCAACGCTAATCATCTCATGTGGCATACTAGTACTGACGTGGACAACTTTTTAAATTTTTTCTAAATTCTTTTCTTTTTTTTTCCTTTTTTTTAAGCTTTTTCTTTCTTTTTTGCTGGTAACCAACCACCGGTAATGGTCGAAGAGGGCTACGCCTGGATGAGGGTTGCCCTCGCTGACCACAAGTGAGGCTGTCCCTCACCCCTAGGCGAGAATCACTCTCACCCTACTCGTGCGAGGCTGTCCTCGACAGCCACAAGTTAGGGTTAGCCTCACCCTCGCCCAAAGTCGATGAGGGTCGCTGACCCTTGCCTATGGCCAGCAACCCTCGCTAGCACTCGATAAAAAAAAGTAAACAAAAAAGAAAAGGAAAAACCAAAAAAATTATATAAAATTCAAAAAATATTAAATATTATTAAAAAATGTTCACGTTAGCACCGGTTGTGCCACGTAAGATGGTCGACATCCACATAAGATGGTCAATATCCACGTCAGCAATTTCCAATCAAAATTGGTCGAATGGACTCAATTGACAGAACATGAAAATGTCAATGACTCAATTAGTACAATTAAAAGGTTTAAGACTGAATTTACACAAATACAATATGTTTATGACTTTTTTGGTAATTTTCCCGACTATATTTCTAAGAAGGCGGAAATAACGTCTTTAAGATCAGAAAAGCATGTCGAATACTGAATGAATTAACAATTTTCATATGCTCCTGATGACCCTTATACTTTATATATAGCCGGCAATCTTTAGGTCATATGAGATCCACAAAATCAGTCCACCGTGAACACGATGAATATCCACTTCAAATCGCTAACAGCAAAATACTTTATCACGATAAACTTGCCGCGATGCCCAACGTTGCGGATCTTAGAAAGAACACTGAGAATGAGTTACCATAGCAAACCTTTAGAGAGTTTGCAATGAAATCGACGTACTTCAGCCCATACAGGAAGTTCCTTGACCGTAAAGCCTGTGAAGTAGCTTCACAATAGGCAATATGTCCATCTTCGACAGTGGATGCAACAGTTTTACGCAGCTTGTGATTTCTCCGAGACGCAATGCCTCTAGCATGATGAAACACGAGTCCAAAGGTTTAAGGTTTAGCATCTACACGGCCACTAGTGATCCAACCACCTCAAGGTGATCGGAGTTCCGATAGCTTCGTATAAGAATCCTTGGTTCAACAAAGGCCGTTTCGAGACATTCCTAATGATGTAGATCTTTCTCTATGAATCTCTGTGCCAATTGGACACAAGAGACTTCACCCGAGTCCTTCATCTTAAAAATTTGAGAAAGAAAAATCTTCTTTCAGATAGCATACCCAAATCAATACTGGCAAGCAAAATGTCACTACACAGGACTAAGAAAATTAGTTTGCTCACACTGACCTCAAGATACGCACCTGATTTCACAAGGTAATTTCATTGTGAATGTGAATATCAGAGTATCAATATCTGGAAGGTAGTTTTAGTCCATATATTGACTTTCTCAATTTGTAGACCAGTTGACTTTCATTTGAAAAACCTTCAGGTTGATTCAAGTTTACTTCTCCCTCAAGATCTCAGTTTAGAAAAGGTGTTTTCGTGTCCATTTAAGGTAGCTCTTAGTCAAAGTTGAGGTAGGTCGGCTTTATATGTCTCGACATTGTCAAAGGTAGCTTTGAGTCTTATCGATCCATTTACAACGAATGGTTATAGCCCTTTAGATAAATCAATGAGACCCCGAACCTGATTTTCAGCCATCG